TTGTAACCAACGCTATGTTTACTTCGTTTGGCAGGAACGATATTTACTACTAAAAGGAATACTAGATCAACTATCAAAAGGAACACTAGATTGCTTTAACTATTTTAGCTAAAGCAAATGCGATTAATTAAATGTTCACTTCAAAACCACAGCTTCAAATGACCACAGAAAGAGTAAACGTCTGACTCCTAATTCCGCGAATTTATTCGGGTCGGAAGTACCCGAAATCCGAAACGCCTCTCCCATTTCTTGAAATTCTACAATAACATTCACTCTTGCACAGATGCATTGAATACGATTCACCCTCTTTGCAGAATTATTTGCTTCCTTCAGCATTTCTTTCCACACATATATTGTTCCCCTTTACCGCTTGTCAATTCAGTATACCATTTTTTGAAAGCCTGGGAAAAATCCTCGTATGAGCGACTTTGAAGGACAACAGCATCGCACGTGTATCTTTCAGGTATTTTCATAACGAAAAGGGTTCGTGTTATACGGCGAATATATCTAAAAATTAAAAAATGTAGTTTGAAATTACACAAACGCGTTATACATCAGTGCGCTTTATATGCCGGAATATATGGTAAATCTTTTTTTTTTTTTTTTTTTTTTTTGTGTATAAGCTTCTTTTACCTGCTTCTGATCAAGTTTTTTTTAGTTCTATTTCCTATGAAAAGTACTTGATTACACTGATCAAGTACTTAACATAGGAAACAGAACTTGGACTCTGAGTGCCCTGACTATTAAGATAAGGCAGCCATTTTTCCAGTCTTTCAAGTGTTTAGGTAATGAAAATCATCAACCTCAAAACCAAATGCCAAACAGGACTGCAATAAAACTAAACAAAAAATACTGCAAATCATGAAATATAGATTGGATATAAAGCTAAGATATTCCTGTTCCACGCAGTTAGTCTGTTCTTCATTCTTTCTAAACCAGGGGTTCGCATTCAGGCTAGAAATCTTCCCTAGGGGGAGACTTTCATAGTTTCAAGGAGGAATGCGGTCAGTCTTTTATTTATCCGTTAAGTGTTTAGCTTCAGTTTATGAATATAAAAAATTCTTTTATTGAAACTTTGGTATTTATTAATATTTTCTACATTTTTTTTCTAAATTTATAAAAGCCGTTACAAGTGATCTAAATTTAAATAAATGTATATGGATTTTTCTAATTTTAGAAAGGATTGGGGGGATAATGATCGTCAAGCAATGGTAAAAGGGATGCATAGGACAAAACAGATTTAAAACATTTAATATAAAAGAGTCTGGCAATAGCCTTTGCTTTATTCTAGTTAAGAATGAAACTCTGAATAATTACCTAAATAATAGCGCCAAGAGTTTTAACTCCGTAACCTGACCGGATGCGGTTTCACATTTCCGATGTTCTCTTTGTGTTTTTGTAACGATGCTAGAGAAAGCTTCCTACTACTACGTAGGAATAACCTCAGTTTATCATTCAAGGCCTACAATTGCAGTTAAGATTTTAACTCACGATCCTTCTGATTCGTCATTCAGTGAGTTATATGAAGACAGTAACTAACTATTTCATCTCACGGATAATACTCGAAACTGCAACTTTGACAGAGTGGCGTTCTAACTTATGCGCTTAAACTCTTCGCTTATTATTTTCAGAAAGTTTTCCTAAGAAAAACGTCAAAAACTAATTAGCAATGATAAAACTTCATATAATTAAAACAAAACAAATTTCCTTAATTCTGCTTGTTAATTCGTATAAATATCATTCGGAATGAATACAATTGAAGAACGAAACGAATCAATTGCTTCTTATAATTTAGAAATATTCCGTAAGTAATAAAAATCCGCTGTTCTAATGCAATACTGTTGTTATTTATTGTTAAGAGATAACATATTAAACTTGTAATGTTTAGTGTATTGATAGTTCGTTAAATGAAAAAAATAACCAAACTCACAAGAAAAATTCTATTGAGTAATGAAAATATCGTCTTTAATCGCACGTGCATGTATATGATTATATGGTCAACATAGCTGTGGGATAGATATGTTGTAACGGATATCTTGGGCTATTTTATTTTTCCACGTTATGACCCGTTCTCCCTTGGTGCACATTTTGTAACTTACCATTTATTTTTGTAATTTCAAAGTTATCTTTGGGCTTCACTAAACTGATGATAACTTAAATCACCAATACCAAATTGACGGACACGGTGGTACAAATCTTTGCAAAAACCTGTGAAAAAAGAGTAGCAAATCCAAACATTTGTAGCACTTCATATTTTTTCTAGCCCTTTAGGCAACAAATTTCATATTTTAAACAAGTAACTCAACTTCATGCTTCCCAAGCTCATTCTTTGTTGACATAAGCGCGGAAGACGACATAACTTGCCTGCCAGACTACAACATCTTACAAAAACTACGGAAACTCGCATTTTCCAGGAATAGAAATATTGCGAGGAGTTGCAAGACGGATGGTTTCTCCTTCATCCTTCTTGTCTTAGTCACTATTTTTAGATTATTTTATTAGCCTCTCTCAAAAGAAATCTCTCTTCTGGAGTTGTTTATTTGATGAGGATAGTAGTTCTATTCCAAGAACGTATTCCAGAAGGTTAGTGTTACATCAAGGGGCAAAGCTTAATGGAGTGTAATATGGGTAATAGGCCAAAAAGGTGTGCATAATAAATCATTGCTTTAGTCTAGTTTCTCTCCCCTCCAAGTTTCTCTAAAATTGAATTTGTTTTTATTACAGTTAATGGTTACCTTAACTCATTTTGAAAGACTATGGAACGCTAAACAGTTACGCTGATATGTTTAAAAACTTACGTAGTACAGATAAATGCAATACATTATGTGGCTTACATAGTACATAAAATTATAATAAGTCAGGTGCTTATATTTTAAATACTATTTAAATTAGTTTTATGATTATTAATTTAAATGTAAGGCTTTTAGTAACTTAGGAATATAATAGTTTCGTATCAGAAAAAATACTTCCCATTAACTCTCAAAATAAATGTATGGAATAAATTTTCCAGCAATCCTAATTACGTGGTGATATTTAACCAATATTTTGTACGAAGACCTAAGAATTACATACTTAAATTCTCATTCCGTGTAAACCATGAGGTGATTTATTTCATCTGTCTTAGTCTTTAATGAAGTAACTATAACGTCGATGAAGGTTTTACTCATAAAACCTTTACTAAACAAATGCACAGCTCGTATTTTATAAAAATCAGTCATCGCTCTTTGAGGGATTTAAGGTAACATTAAATCAATATTTAAGCAAATAACTTGGAATTCGCAAAGCATGTCCTAATGTATAGGTTTGATTTAGGCTTTCAAGTATGCGAGCAACACTTCTAACAAAAGGATAAAACCGATTTAGGTAATTTTAAGAGCTGGGCTTAGCAGGAAAGACCAGCGTCGCTGCCATAAGCTTACTTCTTGACTTCAAGAACACGCGTTACATAATTTACATCCTGAAGGGAGCCGACAAAAGTACAATTGAAAGTAAAGATAAAAAATAATAGGTTAACAAACATAAAGCCTAACAATTTAAAATTTAAATCTTTGGTTAATGGCTAATATTGAAGCATAAAATGTTTCATAAAATCATCCTTTGCATGAAGTAAATTATAAAATACTTTAAGTTACTGAGATATGAAAAAGGTGTCCTTCATTTACTTCAAAAATATTTCTTTACCTTTACAACGGATTCCAGTGGGTAATCCCTAAACAAATACTGTACAGAATGCTTATTAAATTGCTAAGCCCCTGGTTACGAATACAGAGACCATGAACACCATCCCACATACACAGTTCGGAAAACAATTTATTTTTGCAATAAGATGAATGAACAAAGCCCATAATGGCAAAAACAGTTAGGAAATTCATCAAGTCCAAGAAAACAATCTCCGAATAGTGACAAAGAAAGTTTCGGCTCTGCAGCGAAGTCATCTGTCCAGTGCACCAGATAAGATGGTCTTAAAAAATCAACCGAGGATAAAAAGTAAACTTTTAACTGGCTGTAAATCATCTCAATCAGCTCCTCTATTAAGGAGATAATCTTCTTAATTCAGGAGATCAAGCTTACCAAAACTCCTGGTGACAAATTGTCGGTAGGGCTTAAAGCTGGACTATACATTACATATTAAAGCTGAACTATACATAATTGGCTGAACTACTGAAATAATCACAAAAATGTTGGTATGGGCATTCTTTTCAGCTCAACAGTACGTATACGACATTTTCCTTCCACCATGGTTATGAATTTCGTGTGACAGCACACTGTTTCATGTTTATAGGATTGTGCAAACAGTTCAGGGTATAATTTCCAAATGTGGGTTAAAATTGTTATTAATTTCATTTCCACTGAGGTCCCATGCTGTAAGTTCTAAATGTAAAGCTCAGTTCATCTGCAGCATTGCATTAAATTAGCTAAGTGGGAAAAATAACCAATTAAGTATACGTGGAGCGGTTAGCGAATGCGTGTAATAATGTATAGTTCAGCTTTTAAACACCTCTGCTGTCCTAAGTTGTCACTCACATGCTGCAGTGTTCTAGATACTGCTCCCTACTAAACCCATTATATAGCTAGACCGTTAATTAAGGTCATACCGTCAGTGCAGAGAATATAAACGTTAATAACTTGGAATGTACAATCGATAGAACAACATTGATCTACATTGAACAATAAACTGTAGAAGAAAATTTTTTAATTCTGATGCAATACAGCTCATAGTTTAATATTACCACAACCTTTCGTGAAATATCGTTGTTTTTCAACTCATTATAAACATTCCTCCATTGCTACGCAGCTATTTAAACCATAGTCTTAATATAACTCCATACAAAATCAGTCAATTGAATTTACTGATAATTTTATATAATAATAAAATGGAAGTGAAAAGAAGTATTCCGTTTGCACCCACAAAAAATAAAAATTTGAATATTTTTAGGAATTCTAAGAAATTCTATAGAACTAATTCTAAAATTCTAAATCAGCTTTAAAGCAATACTTACTTCATTCTCGTAAAAGTAAAATTTGGATCCGTCCAGAACACAGTAACGTGGCTTCCAGGTTCCAGAATAAAGCCATCCCCTTCCTACCAGTTTTTGAAGTAGACCAGTTTTATGTGGATTGATAAAAGAATTGCTTGCTGGGATATCTTGCTGCAAAAAAGAAAATATATATTACTTCATCATCAGTAATATATATTTAAAATATATTAATATTTCATTCGCAAAACTGAAACATTGCCCCTGTGTTTCAATATTACTTCTGATTTTTATTATAATTGATTTACTTCCCTATTAGCAGCAACAAATCCATATTTTTATCTTAATCTCAGTTATTCGCAAATTCCATGGTTTGTAAAGTTAGAATATTTTAATTCCTTTCTAAATAGTCTAAAGTATTTTTAAATAAATAAGGAGCGAAATTAACAGCAAAAACGAACAAAAAGACTGTAATAATATCGCAATACTAATGCGCACAGTTAATGATCGAGAATAGTCATGGTATTTATTTACCCAGTGACTGTAAGGAGCATACAAATTTCAAACCTTGTAGCATATTCAGGAATAGATAAAGAAGTTTACTCGACTCTGAATTTTTGTAAAACAATTCGAAATTCAAATCTAAATTCTTTAATAGACTGCAAAGTTTTTACGAGTTATAAAAGTTCTGCGAATGATAAGGTATTTCCTCCCTCCTTTCTGTATGCTTTCGTGCTATAATTGAAAGCATATTTGACGCGTATTCGAGAGGACCAGGGTCCAACCCGGCTAAGGGATTGCTCGTTTGTTTTTCACGTTTCTAACATCAAAAATCCTAATGACTCTACACAATAACCGAATATCATAAAAACGTAGCTTTTGTTCATAATATTGATTATACATTAATTTTCATGTTTCAGGTATTAATTCTAATTTTACCTTGATTCAGAACTTACTGTTCTAACTAAATATAAGATCAAAATAATCCCACAAAATATACTTAAATTAAGGTAAAGGATTTTCTTTCAGCAAGCTTCTAAAAGTATTTTCTTTAAAAAAATGTAAGCTTTATGCATAAATAATGCGTGTTTTAGCAAAATGAGAACTTTTGAAAACAAAACTGAATTTTCTTTTCCCAGAGGGATGAAAAAATCCAATCTGGTTTTAGGATTCTATCTGAATTTCTGAAAAGTGCATAAACCGACATCTTTGCTGTTACTGGAAAAAACATCGTAGACGAAAACGTCACAAATAAAACAATGCGAAGGGAAAACATCATCGTAAAAAAGTGACCACAGTGTAACCCTCAAGTACGAAGAAAAGGAAATCTGATGCTGCCTGCCAGTAGTATGCGGGATACCCATCACTGGAGGGAATCGTGCCCGCAAACTCTTGGAATCCTCCTCTTCCTCTAAATCACAGGTTCTATCGGTTTAGTGATTTACACCAAGCCACTCCGAGTGCCCTAGGAGCTCCCCTTGGAGCAACTGAAACCGCCAGGATCAACGTTTTTGTGCATTTGGTGCAAGATAACAGATCTCTACCAGCGCACTAAACAACTTCCAGGGGGGGGGAATAACATAACATAACAGTAAAATATAAAGCGATTAGTGAAAAGTAAAACTTCTGTTTCGAAACATCGCTGTACAAAATTTCGTAGTGAAAAATAAAACAGCTGCAAAATTACGCAAAGACACGTTTCCAGATTTTACATATTAAACAAATGTCCTTGCTATTTTCCATATGTAATGATTTCTAAAAATGAAACGAATTAAGGAATATTGATACAAGTAAAACACAAACATTTTCTAACTTCAGATTTTTAAATATTGCATAATTTGCAATTTGAAATTATTCACTTTTTATTTACGTGTTAATTTTTTTCTGCATGCTCGCTTGTCGTGATATTATATAAACAAATACAGCTTTACAAAATTGCGGTATAATCTTTTTTCTGAACGTTACATTTCTGTTATTAAAGTTTCTAAGTTAGAATTTAATTTTCAGCTTCCAATATAACTTTAAAGTTCTCATAAATTTCTATGAGGCTAATTAAAATTCCCATAAATTTAACGATACACAATAATATCATTGCTGTTCTTAAGAGAAAACTCTAACAAATAAAAGCAACAATAAACATTTCGGCCACATTATCTTTTCAATACTAAACAATAAATTAACTGTCGTTCACATTTAGAATTAGTTCATTAACTTATAATTCAAGAGTTGCACATTCGACGGGCTTAATCTATGGCAGACTTGGAAGACTATATCAGGGTAAAGCTGCTTTGTACTATAAGTTATAACACATGGCGACACAGAGGACTCTATTTATGGATGATCCCTTCATAGAGCCTCTTATTAAAGTAAAGCAGGTGTTAGTCAAGATCTTCTATTTCTCAAAATCATGTTTGTGCTTGGAGTTAGATTTTTAGAGAAAACAATTATTCAATTCTAAATAAATTAATTATAATTTATTTAATTCTAACAAGCATTCTAAAAATCGATAGAAAAGTCGGATTAATATTTTCTGTCTGAGATTTCATTTTGAGCTGATTATTTTTTCTAGTGAGTATTAAATTAGTGTCTTATTTGAAAATGAATAATTATGAAATCATAATTTCGTAAGACTTCTTATAAAGGAAGATAAGTCTCGAAGGAAAAAAATTACATATACAGAGGGCGTTTATACATTTTTCGAACGAATTTGGGGAGTTTTATTAAATATTTAAAATGTAAAGAGTATTTTTTAAATATTCGATCTAATAGCCTTATGTCTGGATTATAAGTCTGCATCGGGATTTCTATAATAAAAAATTTTATGGTAAAATTTCTAGGAGTATTAATTTTCATTTCTTATCCACTGCTTCCCAGAGTTTATGAATCGTTTTAAATTTGAGCTTAGAAACAACTTCCCTCAAGAATATTTACGTTATCTAAAGCCTTTTTGCTATTAGAAGTATACGTCCACAACGTACGGCTGCAAAAGTAAAGGTCACATAAGGACTTTTACGGACATACGGACGTTGTGTATGCAATCATACGTATATGTAGTAAATCACGTTCTCTTTTCCACTCAAATAAAAGTTAAACTGTTGGTTTACTTACTCTTCGTTTGCATTATCACATTAATCAGAAAGCCATCATTCTAGCAGCACTTTCCTTTTTATCTAGACATCCATGTCTTAAATTCTAGTTTTGAAAGGCAAAAGTAATAAAATAAACAAAAAATAAATAAAGTTATATGTTGGTGCGGTATCACGAAATCTTACGGTATTTATTACTTACAACATAGGGCTCATTTAATAGCGTAGTTTCAATTCGGTTGTTCTGAAGTTTATTTTCGCAGCCGACAGATAATATTCCCCAGCAAGCGATTTCAGTTGAGTAAACAAGCCTATGGATAGTCATCGTATTCATGTCGAACAAACGGTTTTTGGGCAATATGATTTTATTTTTTAAATTGAGTAATCGGTTTGCTATCTGAATTTCCTCAATTTCTATCGTTAGTTACTGAGCAATATAACATAACTAAACTCTTGTTAATGTTATACCCTTTTATGACAAATTTTCCTTAAGAAAGAACAAATTTGTTTTTTAAATTTCCTATAAAAAATGTCCGATGAGGGAGACGAAAATTTGGACAGGTTTTTCCATAGAAAGATGTGCTCATCGCTGTTTTCAGCAGCCTCTAAAATTACAACTCAGTGATGTAAGATGAAGTATCGTAGAAATTTTGTTCACTAGGAACTATACTATAAGCCGGTGGAAAAGTTTATTTACGGAAAGACTGGAACATAAATGACTGGAACATACACAGGGAGTTACAAGCCATTGAAAATTGGTAAGTGCATTCAACTCTGTGCCGATACTACTCGAAACGATATAGTAATAGTGGATTAAACTTTAGATTACCTTATAAAACTGTAGAATAATAAAGAGGAAAAATACTCGTTCTCGGAAAAAAAAAAAGATACTATTCACAATAATCAAAAGTTATCCATGTAACATGAAGTAAACTCTTTCTGCTTTGTATGATATTAAATGAAAGTAAGTGAATTTTCACTGCTGTGTTCCGTTTTAAATAATCCTAAAATCAATAATAAATGCATGCTAGGATGCTAAACGTTTTTATACAAAGTGCTTTATCGTAATAATTTATCCTTTACGTTGTAGATGCATATTTCACTATTGTAAAAGTTACTGAGGAATAAGCTGAAGTTTTAACTGTTAAAGCTTCAGGATACTTGATCTTATTGCTTATTTTAATTTCCAATCATTTTATTCATTCTCCCGTCGAATCTATTACTTCGGATGTAAAGCATGTAATGTAACACGTCAAAGTATTAAAAGGACCTTTATAAGGTTTTTACTATTTTTATAACAATTAACCCTTTATTCTTCTGTTCTATATTTTATTTATTAGACCATTTGAGAAATATGTAAATGAGAAGCTACTCATATGAACTCTTAAGAAGATGTAAATGTACAGGTCTGACTGACTAAAATGTAATCAACTATGGCCGTATGAACTGCATGAAAATTCTCTGTGGCTTAATTAGCAACGGCCTTTAACTGCTAGGCCAGAGGACTCGATAACCTACAAGATGCGTGAATTAAAATTAATTAATTTTATTAGACTAAAATTTATTTTCAGTCAACTAAAAGTTTTCGTTCAAATTCAATTTCTCTGCGTTACTACAAATAGCTAGCCGAAGATGCTGCTGCTTTCACAGCTTGTGAATAGCAGCTTTATCAGCTACTTTTTAATTGTCTAGATCATAAATTGTGACCATAATAAAGTTACAATTTTTCTTTTATTGCTAGATTTTCATTTTTATTTGAAATTTGGTTTAGATTTTAATTAAAGCTGTTTGAACGATGGTTTGATATATGTATAGATAAAGATTCAAGATTAGAGTAAATTAGTTAAATATTAAAGACTTGGATTGCACTGAACGTATTACTGTAAATAATAATTATATAGAAATAAATGTAACACAGTTTAAGCTTCCTATACAACTTTCATGAAAGGTTTTCTGAACTTAAATTATCGTCTTTTCAAGAACAGGAAAAAAAAAGGCGGGGCCAGATCATGTGATACTTACGTCTTCTCGCTTATAATACATGACAGCTCTTCCGTTAGTTAGTAGTGTCAGGAAAAACTCTAGACG